TTAGTAGCTTCGTGCACTATTCACACACTCAGTGAACCCAAGACAATCCAAAAATAACAATCTAAAGAACCCCGCGTGCGAAGTGTGCAAACACAACACCCCAGTGTCATCTAGTGTCAGAGCCGGAATCCCAACGGCGCCCGCCATCCCGGGCTCCAAGCAAACATTGGATCAAAATTCCGGCAAATTGGTTCCAATCTTCCGCACAATGCCTCTGGAGCTCCATACCTGACAATAGCTGGGGACAAACAGCATTTTAACATGGCTTGACTCTAAACAAAAGCGGAGGAATCTGTGATGAAGTGCGGGGTACATACGCAAGCCTTTACATGTGTGTTATTGTTTGTATTCCACATGTTCAACAAAAGGAAAGCATGGAGATTGAACTTGTGCCCTTCTGCAGGTCGAGGGCCATATTGCATCACAGTTTGCAACAAATCAATGGCTTTCCCAGTGGGTCCAATTTTCATGTACTGTACATTGCTAACGACTGGTCTGTTGAGCCGGGCGGCTCCAAGCTTCCATCTTGTTCACCAGATCCTAAAAACAAGGCTTCAGCGTGGGTTACTTCCAAAGGAAACATCAGATCCAAGCCAGCCAGCATCAAAGGTTGGGTTGGAGCATGTGGGAGCAAATTTGACCCACCTATATACACTAGTGACCGCAAGAAAATATACACTAGTGACCGCAAAAAGAACTTCGCCCCGTGCGAAGCTAAGTTGAACAATGACTTCCAGGCAGTTGGGGCCATGTATGTTTGGAATGTGTAGGTCTGGGACAAGTGGCAGCCATCCAAGATCAAAACATCACAATGCCTCGGTACTGTGTGGAGCTTGTCGCCAAACGGCTTCAATCCACGTGCGGGCCTTTTGAGCAAATACAAGTAATTACTCAGTCATCTAGCGCGTTCTGGCACATGCACACTTTTCTTTAGCTTCTAATGCCCGGCACCCTGTGCAAAAGCTCTTTCCCATAGTTGTCAGCTCCTCCACAGCAGATTCCGCTTGTTCCCTTGAAGTGGATGAGAGACTGCCATAGATCTCCTGTGCAAAACGCTGGTGCGTCGCACTGTGCGATGTGTCTGTGTATTGAACCCGCTGAAATCCTCAAAGAGAGGCCGGGTGAATGAAGCCCCACACCAACTGAAGCATGGCATGAACGATGTATAATATATATATAGTATAGTGATCAATATATGTCCAACATGGGGTGTCCCCCAAGTAGCACAGCCGCTCCTCAGTCAAAATTGGTCCAAGGGATGAAGTCTGAGGCTTTGGCAGTCACTGCAAAGTTGGTGATTTCGCAATGTTTCAAATACAGCGCGCTCAAATGTAGCCCCAACCAATCCAATTGGAACTTGACGGATGGTGCGACATGTCTTAAATCCAAAGCCCTGGTCAAAAACGACTATACACGAGATTCCAAATTTGACTCTGTTCAGCACAGGATGACAATGATTATAATGAATTATAATGAACACATTTTGTTGCGCCCAGCGTGCTATACACCCCCATCACATGGAAGAGAGGTCTCACTGGTGAAACGAGACTCCCTGAAGCCAAGCCATCTGCACACCCCCAAAGCAAAGCACCATGCTGTCCTACGAACCTCGGCGGTCCAAGAACAAACAAACCTCGACTGTCTCGCCTCCTTCTCCGCGTCACCATCGCCAAGGACTACCTGATGGGTTCACAAGGGTTGTGATCCGGAAAGTCTCCAGAGGATTGGATCAAGGATCTGCATGAAGCTGCTCAACGTCGAATTCTTTGAAGAGAAAGTAGACATACAATGAAGCCACTGGTGTGGCTGCTCTATCAAAAAAGAGAGATGTGATATGATATGCACACACTAAATCATCCCAAATCCTAGGATCATTCCTGTCATGGCTTGAGAAAAGCCATAAAAACCAGGATCCTCCATGGGATCCCCGTATGATCCGTGTGTCTGTCAAATCTCCCCTGGCCCTCTTCGGTCAGGCCACACGTTTCACCAAGATTTCCTGGGCGCAACTGGAGATCCCATGGGGCACTGTCTTGGCAGGTTTTTTGTCGGACAGGGCAACACAGTAGCACAATGCAGCACAGTCGAATTGAGAACGGATGTGTTTTATTCTGATCTACTTTGTCATTCTCATAGTTGCCACTGGTGATATGTTGATCAAACACAACTGACAAAAAGGCTAATTAAATGTCCAAAAGCCGGCACACAAGTAGAACGGCAGCATGGCACACACCAGCTTACTTTTGCAGGCTTTTATCGTGTCGTCTCGCCTTTGATTTGACCTCAGTTGCTTTTCCGTTGTCCGAAGGCTGAGTGTTCGAGCCCCAATTCACGACAAGCAGTCAGTGACTGCATACCCCCCCCGAAATGATCATGGAATTCGGGTTTCCACTTGTTTGTAAAGGCCAATTGGTCATCCAAAGGGCCATGTTCATCCATTGTCCACCTCCATGTTTCGTGGTTTCAGGGAGTGCGAACTGCGTTGCCTGCGCGTCCTCGACGTAACCAAGGGTCCCATGCAGATCGCTCGGCGATGTGAGAGCCGACAGCTCGCCAGTTGCTCATCAGAGTGGAATTCACATGGCGGAAGAAAAGCACCTGACAGAAGGAGTGCGAAGTGGCGGAATGCGGAAGGACTTGCGCCCTTCCGCCCTGCACATTGCGCCACTCAAACTTGAGACCAAGCCAAGTTTGAAAAACATACGACATGTCTGACCACCGGTGTGCACACATGTTGACTTTTCCTACAAATTACTGAAAGGGTTTGCATGCAAAAGTGGGTCACACAAAAAGCTGGAAACACTTGTCTAAAAGCCGTTGGCATCCAGTTTCTGATGCTACTTCAAAGGGTCAACTTGAACTTGAAACATTCAAACATTTCTGACTTCACAATGCAACTGACCATATCTCGCTCCATCAGTCAAGATTGATACTACTTCGTGGCCGCTTGGCTTTCTCTTTCTTCGATCGGGCCACGGGCGCGATTAAGCCAAATCCAAATTGTCTATCCATTTCAGGCTCCCGCTCTTTCTGTCAATGAGATGCTCGAAAGCTACATGTTTATATATATATATATTATACATACTTATACTTATACATGTTCACTCTACGCACTCTAGGCGTTTTGCCTCCTTGACCTTAGAACTTTGAATGTCCTAGAATCCTAGAATACTAATGAATACTAAACGCGAAGAAGCTAGCAGGTCGTATCCGTCTGCATCAACCGTTGCATCCCGTCTATCGACGTTCCCAGGCACAAAGTTGCCCAGCTCTTCATCGACGTTCCAAGATTCACCGACCAAAGAGGGATCATGAAATCGATGAGGTAGAAGGCTCTTGAAAACCTCCAACGAAAGGCGCCGGGAGGTTTAGTCAGGTTGAACAAGCAAATCAATGCACATTCACTGTTACTGGTAATAGGACAGACTGGACCCAAGACCTACCACCGACGGGTTCTGATGGAAAGCTAGGCTATGCTAGGCTCCTGAGCCAACCTGAGCCTACGTGGGTGGCAATGCTACAGTTGCATTTTCTGATGGCAACTTCTAAGCAACATGCTGCGCGCTGTCCGTGGTCTGGCAGTAGTAGGTATATAGTCGAAAAAGAATTGTCGAAAGCATGCAAACTACAGCAAACAGTGTAGCCCATGTGGTCGAAGGGGCCCACTGCCATCCCATGTCACAGGACTGTGCTCCCACTGCACAACCCTTCTTTTCGCACCTCTTCAACATCTCCGTCGTTCTTGAGCCCTCTTTGGAGCTCTCAGCAGCTTCCGTCCGTTTCAGCGTGCTCTCCTTCGGGCCGCCATCTGTGGGGCGATTTTGCGCTTCCAGCTTGGCAATGATCCGGGCCTTTTCCTGCTGGTCTCGAACCTGTTGAAAAACCCGCAGGTCGATTTGGCCCTGCCATGTTTCGTCCTCAGAGTCAATCTCTGCAGCTGCGGGCATCTGTCCAACTCGTGTCTTGAGCCAAGACTCTTGTGGTGAGAATATGAACCCCCAAGTGTCCTACGGCTGCGGGCCCCTCAGCCACCTTACCTGCCTCGAGCCTGGGTGGATATTATCTTCTTTTTTAAGCGAGTGGAGAGGACGAGTGGTTTTTCGAAAATGGATTGTGGTTGGGATGGAGGGAACACCAAAGAGGAAAAAATAACTGGATCGATCAGCGGTTGACGCCACCCGGCCTGAATTTGCTGCGGCGGCTTTGAAAGGCCACGCAGCCAAATCACGCGGGGCATCACCAAAAAAAAGGTCCACATCACATTCTTCACCTTAGTTGGTGGCATCGCGTGTTCAATAAGCTAGGCAAGCGCAAACTGGACAGTATATATATTAGTTTTTTTTCTATATTTGCATTCTTTACCTTAGTTGGTGGCAAGTGGTTCTGCTTCACTGACGACTACTGTAATAACGGAGAAGCAACAAGTAAGGCAGCTCAAAAATGGCGAGAGTCACAGTGAGCAATCACCCCCGCTGGTACTGACTTTAGGATACTTTAGGCCCTGCTGACTTTGTGTCCCTGCATACCTGCGGGCAAACTCACAGTAATTGGATGAATGTTGCATGTGTGTTGATGGGGGTGGAGCGCCACATGAACTCCCTGTATTCTTTCCCTGCATGTTGCTCCCCCCAGGCGACTGGAGTGAGTCTCGCAAAAGGGGTATCACTGAATAAGTACAAGTTTGGCTTTCTGTGACATCGGGACTCTTTTCGTCGCTTGAAAGGCTCTGCAAAACAAGGTCAGCAAAAGGCCAGGCATCCGCCCTCAAAGCAGCTGCCGGCGAATTAAGACTGAGATGCACGGAGTGAGCTGCACAGAAACACGATGAAACACATCAAAGCAGTGACTTCCTGCAGCAAGTAGTCTTGCAGTTCTCTCCCAAACAGCAAAATCTGTGCAATAACGGCCCGACCGGCACTGCCAATGGATGAGCTGATCCCTTCAACACAAATCACAGTAAACAAAAGCAGCATAAAATACATCACTGATACATCTTATGTTGGAGGATGTTGAAGGGGATCAATTCTGGTCTGGTCACTCTGTTGCATACGGCACTCAGCCAAAAATTGTGAAAGCACCGCACTGCCTACGTGGGTGTTGGAATGCAGTTGAAACATGTTGAAACTATAACAATCCAAGTTCACAAGGACAAACCAGTCACATTGGCAAAGTCGATCAGTAAAAGCTTATTTGCTCAGGTTCTCAACGATTAGTCGAGTTAAAGAGGAACTGCTGGCTTGAGGCTCGAGCCAAGAAGTTGAGCTTTCAAAAGCGCTCATCCTATATCCGTCTTGTCTGCTAAAGCAGTGGAAGCACACGCTTCAACCCATCTTTGGCCAGATTAGGCGTCCTCAATCCAGGGTTAACATTGAAAATTGGCCAATGTCTATTGAATTCAATCCCAAGCCTTCCGAACACACTGTCCTGCCTAATTATTAATTATTATAGTATCATGCTTGATCATATCATTTCAGCAGCCAACATGGACCTGCTCATCCTGTTTTGACGACCAGGCACGGTGCGACCAATCACGACTGGTCCTGGCATTCCTGGAACGATGGAGGCTGCTGGGCACGAAGCTCGGCTTGCACTGGCGCCACTTCCCCTGCGCGGCCTCGATGCAAAAGGGACGTGGTGATCATGAGATGATCTCCAAAGATTTTAAAAACATCCAAGAATGTCCTTTGGAAGATACTGTGTACTACAGTCTCATGTTCTTTCATGCGTTGAGGATTCACAAGAAATAAGCCCGGAACTGCTGAATGATGTTGACTCTGTTGTTCTTTCTTCTTCGTTTGGGAGTGACGAAGAGTCCGTTGGACTGATTGTGAAAAGTCCCCCGTGGGATCGGATTTTGGTTTCTGGTGGCAAAAAAAAGACACGGTCTATCCAATCACAATGCTTCAAACAAAGAAAAAAAACGGTGCGCGCGTTCCAGATACGGTCCGCGAATCTGGACACTCGCCACGTTGTTTGTGCTGATCCGTCAGCCATTTTGGTGATTCAAAGGGAAAGGTTGGCACAAGTTTCTCTGTATTACCGGGTTTACCACATCCATCCATGAATGCAACCGCAAGAAGTCATCATGGAGTAGCAGGAAGGTGGACGAATCCAAAGCCTGAAGGAAAACTGGCCACATGAGCATTGGGGCCTATATACAAAAACAAGCCCGGGCATTGGTTGGTTCTACAGGTATAAATTATAAATATTTCACTTGCCAATGACTCCCGATGACTCCCGAGAAATCCATATTCCAAGATATTCCGAGCATGGCTCTGCGACGTTGGCCCCTGAAAGTTCGCATTCTCGTGTTCACATGGCCAGGATGACCTGGCTCACCTGGCTGACCAAAGCCAAGGTGCGCTTCTGACCAAAGCCCATCACCTGCACCGCCACCAGGGCACTCCAAGCACTAGTGGCCAATAGGAGGCCTCCAGTGAGGCAGGAAATGTCATTGGCCATGTGGCCATACGAATGCAGCGATGCTGACCAAGAAGGCAAGCCAAAGAGATCTATCTGGCCTAAAAACTTCTCGCGCGCCAAGTTCACGATGCTACTTCCCATGCACCGTTGAGTAATTATGCACCTGTTGCTTTTTCGTAATCATCTGCATCAAAGCTCCCAGCCTATGGTGCCCAATGGAACGACAGAGGCAGTCATGGTCAAACAGTCCTCCAATGTTGCGAAGGAAAAACTTTTTTCATATATGTTCATATCATAAAATCCGGCCACGGCAAACTTGATGTTTCACTCAAAATTCCTGCAATGCCAGAAACACAAACTCATACACCGTTTATTCCGCACATGTCCAAGGCAGCCAGCGGCGATGCTTCCATATACGTCAAATAAGATCCGTGATCGTGATGGCCGTCCTGATTCAAGGCTTCCTGGACGAGCTCACACATGGGCTTTGCAAAGTCGTGCACGGCAGAGCTTGCAAAACCATTGACTCCTTCAAGGAAGGTTGCCTTACACTCCGACGAACTGTCCCGCTGGCTGACCTGCATGGAATGGGATGATGGAACACTCTAGACAAGTGCTGATCTATTGCATAGTGTTCTGCGATCCTAGCATGACACAGCCCTCGTGGGTTTTGGAGAGATGACTCTTTCGCAACCAGTCTCATGTATTCTCTTGTTCTCCATATGTTGGTTGATGTATTTTCTGGTTGGCGGTCAACTCACTTGAAAAATATGAGTCAGTGACGTGGGTTCAAGCGTCCCAAGTAAAGGTTGAAAATAGAAATGTCCGAAACCACCTAAGTTTTGCACATCATGTCACCTCGTTCGCCCAAGCCGCCCCGCCGCCAAGTGGCAAGGAAGCCAATGGCAAAGAGGTCCAAGAGGCAGAAGGACGCGGCCATCGTAGCCAAACCTGCTGAGATTCCATTTGGGGCCGTATCATCTGAAATCTGGTGACGCGTGGCATCTTTACTTTCAGGGAATACCGGAATACATCGGAATACCATGAATCATGAGGGTCACTTTAGAACACTTTAGGCAACATTTCGCGGGGTCACTTTAGAACACAGCCCTTCTAATGGGTGGGTTTTTTTGGCGGAAGGTGGCAACAGGTTGTGAAGAAGAGGAAAAGCACTCAACCACCGGCCAATCTAATGGCCGGCAATTGTTGGGCAAGCAATCTAATGGGGGATCGGGGTACGTGGAAGAGGAAGAAGGACGAGGAAGAGGGAGAGGGTGGGGCATGGCTGCTGCTTGGTCGCACGCACCGAAAAAACGCACCCCATACCATAGGACACCACCCAGGCAGGGAGGTGCCAATCGACTTCACATTGAGTTCGGAAGCGACCCCTCACCAAACCATGAGGAACCAGGACAGCAGCCCTGGGTTGGATACGAGCTTCCCGGAATTGCAGTGAATTGCAGCCAGCAACAAAAGGACACAAACAACCTTTATTATTGTGTTGGAAACTGTGCTGGGCATCTCTCCAGGACTGCAAGCCAAAAGGTTCCTCAATACAATGGTGAATGAACAGAGCCAACTCGAGGCTAGAGCTCCTGCATCTCAATCAAGGTGCCCTGTGCCACTGTAGGAGACTTTCCAGAGCATCCCACTGCGAAGGCCAAGATGTGCATCAATGGGCAAAGACCTCACGGCATCTCACGAGGTCAACAAAAAGAAGCTCTGCGCGGTACGGGTCAGTCAATCCAATGGCCTGCAACTGGCTCCAACCTGTGAACAAATTGCCAAGTGACCAGCAGTGACGATGACGAGGATGCGCAAGCCTAGGTTGACATGGACCATCCTAGATGAGTGGGAATCGCCAACTAAAGTTACTATATATATATATACTATATAAATGTAAATATATAAATAGGCAAGAGGAAAAAACAAATGATCTGATGGACTAGCAGAAAATGATCTGAAGAGAGAAAACAAGGGAAAATTGAAACTAAACCCACATGCAGCTCTCTGGCTCTATGTAGGCATATCATCTACAGTTATAAAAAACTTTCATATGGTAAGGCCAGAATCCTTGATTTAAAAAAAAGTCAAAAAAA